CATGAGGGGATTTGTCTCTGATGTTTACTATGAGAACCTGGTGGAGCGCCAGGTAAAACCCACAAAGTCATAGCATGCCCCCTTCCCCCAACATGACTGGATTCCTTGGTGTTTTTCTCTCTCAATTTGTCCACACTGAGCCTCCAGCAATTCATCTATTATAGTTCAGGTTTCCCTACCCTGGCACTGACCCCCACAGAGGTTTTTGCTTGTGGGTTTCTGCTCTGTATTTGGCCGTCACTCTCTCCAATTTGGGGGGCAGTGGTTTGTTCAACTTTTTACTTGTTCGGATAGAGTGGCCACTTCGAAGCTTCATACATGCTGGACTGGAAACACATCAGTTTCACATTTAATGGAAGAATAACCAAATGGATGAGTCTTGTGCCTCTTCCTTCTCCCACCCCCATCCCCTCAGGAAACACAAAGTGTTTGCAGGACAGGGTGTCTGCTTTCTTCCTTCTTTCTGACTACAGTGTCTCCAGACTTCCTCCATAACTACTGAAAATTTTTTCATTGTATTATAGCAGTGAATTACCAAACCTAGATTTGTAATATTGAATTTACATATAGCATATGTACCTCCACAATTAGTTTCCGTGATTATTTTCTTTGTTTGATTCCCCCACCAAATTGGAAGCCATGATCTAGAGGTGCCCTGCCCCATTCAGGGACATCACTCAGAAGTACTAGGCAGCAGCCAAACCACCTGGAACTCTAATGACTCAGAGAACTGGCGTGTCCTCTGAGGCCACAAGCTCTTCACTTTCATAAACAGAAATAACACAGAGGTGCCCTCTACTGACCAAAGGAAGAAACTGCAGTTACACACTGCTCCCTGCCTCCCACCCCGACCAGTACAGGGAAATGACCAACATAATCCCTGCTATCTGCCAGGTACTTCACATATATTATGCCATTTGCCCTTGGATTTATAATATTTACATCTACAAGGGAGGAACCATTGCTCCCACTTCATTTTTTAAAAAGTTTTTTTAATGGATGTACTGGGGATTGAACCCAGGACCTCATGCATGCTAAGCAGATGCTCTCTGAGCTATACTCTTCCCCACTTTATAATTGAGGAAAGGGGGTTCAGAGAAGTGAGCTGATTTCCTGAGTTCCCAGGGTAAGAGGCACTGCTGAGATCCAACCCAGGTCTGTCTGAAGCCAGACCCTCTGCTCTGTCCACCAGGCCCCTGTTACTCAAAGTCTGCTCCTTGGACCAGAGCCTGAGCAAAACTGGGAGTGATAGCAATGCAGATTGCAGGCCCCACTCCAGACCTAAGTAATCAAAATTTGTATCCTAAGGAGATAAAAATTTGTATGCACATTAAAGTTTGAGAAGCCCCTGACTCCCGTGAAGTGGTAGGGGAAACTCAGCCTGTGTCCCCCCGAGGAGAAACTGAGTTTTCATATTTCTTCTGTAAACGTGGATTTCTGGTTATAAAGCACTTCTGACATTTTTCATGTAATTTCTTGACATTGGCTCTCCTTTATCTTGGGAGGTAAGTAAGGTCAGTGATCATCATTCGCATGTTAGAGATCTGGAAACAAAAGCCCAGAGAGGAAGTGACTTGCCCAGAGCCACCGGCCAGCAGGCAGGCATCTCACCAAGTGACATGGATTAGCTGGGAGGGTAAGGGTTCTAGGACCTGATGTTGGTGCCGGCGTGGGGGTTGTGGGTTCCAGAGCTTGCCTTCTGGGGTCAGAAATCACCAGGCTGGTTCTGAGCCACCCCTCTACTCACTTGTCCATTCATACATGGAAAGAGGGCTGTCTGGCTCCAGTTTTACTCCCTGTGTGTCCCTGGGCAATTATGTAACACCTCTCTGTTTTCACTTCTTCCTAGAGTTTGGTCTTTGTGAAGAACAAATACAAATGATGCCAGTTAAGTGCTGGACCAGGTAAGGACTCAACAAATGTTAGCTGATATTCATGCATTCATTCAATTTGTTTAACAGCTATTCAGCACTTGCTTGCTATGTGCCAGGAGCTGACTAAGATACCTGATGGACAAGGGAGACATAAGCCTGCTCCCATGGAACTTACTGTTTCTCATGGGGGAGACAGACATTGATTAAGTGCTTACAAGGGTGGTGAGGAAAAGGCAGGGATGTCTTGACTAAAATGGATGAATGGATGAATTTGGCTGTGTTTGCCCATAGTGTAGATGTAACCTTT